GCGTGTGTGGTTTACCAACACATCAATTGAGATGATAAATGATAATGAGGTTACCAAGCACATTTGCATGGTTATTCACATCTTGTTTGTGATCTTCGGTACCCTAGTCACAAATAGAAGAGCATAATCTGAGATTAAACATGTCATTAATCAGTTTCAATAAATCTCAAAAGATCTAGGATTTTCATCAAAAACTTAATTTCCTTTTAACAATTTCGTTTTCACATGGTGGAATTGGTAAATCGTCATTTACTTACCTTTATAAAATTTACAATTAGATTACAACATCCCTTTTCTAAGTTGTGAATTATATAGTTGGATCCCAACCTTAATATTTCATTTTTGGGTTGCTATATTTATGATTATTCTTATCTAACTAAAACTACCTTCCTTTTACACATGTCTACTCCAAATGATGCTTTTGGTTCCTCCTCCTCAAATCAAAACTTCTTGTTGCTGATCATCTGCTCAAAGGTGACATTGGATGGCACCCATTACAATGACTGGATGCGCAACATAAAAATGTCCCTTCGTTTCGAGGACAAGGAGTATGTCCTTGAGAAATAACTAGAAGAGAAGGCCACTCCTGAAGAACTAGCCGCCTACAAGAGGCACTACAATGATGCAACAAAAGTTGCTTGCATCATGGTCGTCACGATGACCCTTGAGGTCCAGAGATTCTATGAGGATTAGTGGCCATATGAGATGAACAAGGACCTTTTTGAGAAGTACCAAAAGCGAGCTCGTCAGAAAAAATATGAGGTGGTAAAGTCCCTCATGGCGTGCAAAATTAAAGAGGGAGAATATATTTGTGGCCACGTACAGAGAATGCAATGTTACATGGAGCACCTTGTGAGGCTTAATGTGCATTTTGAAGATGAGTTGGCTATTGACATAATCTTGAACTCCTTACCAAGTTGTTATGATCAGTTCATCTTGACCTATCATTTGAACAACAGTGAGGCCACCTTGGCTCAATTGCACAACCTCCTGCATACAGCTGAAGCGGGTATGAAGGGAAATAGTATTGCCTCCACTCCTTCTAGTGCTCCTGTTCTGGCCATTGGTCAAGGGAAGGGGAAGAAGAGGAAAGGTACTCCAAAGCAAAACTGAAAGGGAAAGTCTCATGATGGGTCGTCATGCAATGGACCCAAAGGTAAATCCAGTTCTGATGCTCCTCCTCTCTCTGATCCCAAAGAGGCCACTTGCTTTTACTGCATCGACAAAGGGCATTGGAAATGAAGTTTCCCAAAGTATCTGCAAGATATCAAAGATGGCAAGGTGAATCCAACTTCTACAGGTATATACATTATTTCATCTGATAACTCATCATCTTCTCGTTCTTGTGTCCTTGATACAGGATGTTGATTTCACATTTGTTCTGATTTGCAGGGGCTAAGAAGAAGTGAGGAGGTGGAGCACAGTAGAATGAACTTGATCATGGGGAATAGGCAATCTTCACATGTCACCAAGATTGGAGTTTATAGTCTAGTGCTTAGTAATGGTGTTGATTTAGATTTAATAAATTGTTGGTACTCGTCAGAAATAACACGAAACATTATTTCTTTTCATGCATTGTTCAAACAAGGTTTTAGATATGCTTTTAATGATTTGAATGGTTCAATTTCTGCTTAAAAATGGTATTTTTATTTTGAAGTTTTACCTTGTGATGACGTGTACGAAAATGTGATGTGTGTAGACAATTTAGGCAATAATGTATTTCAAATTGATTCGTCTAATGGTATAGATAAAGCATGCTTGTGGCATTGTCGTTGTGGACACGTTAACAAAAAACGCATCGCCCAACTCCAAAAGGATGGAGTGTTGGAATCATTTAGCGTAAGGTCGGATGATGCATGTGAATCTTGTCTTTTGGGTAAGATGACAAAATCATCTTTCACTGAATCTTATGAAAGAGGTGAAGGTTTGTTGGACCTCATACACACAGATGTATGTGGACCCTTCAGATACACCACAAGGGATGAAAACCGACTAACTTGAATTTCAATGAATACATCTAACTGATTGTGCCGCTTGGTTTTGAAGAGTAGATGCTATGAACTGACCCAATGTTAAGCACAAAAACTCAACTAATCAATAAAAAAAGTAGAAAACAAGTTTCAGATTGGAGAAACCATTCTACCAAGGAGAAAATCCTCTAACAAACTCTTCTATCTAATATAAAGATATGTTTGATGAGTTTATGAAGTTAAAAAGATGTGTGTTTGTCAAAAACAATTGGAATTTTTTTTAGAAATGTGATTTAATTACTTATTCATGATCGGGTATGTGCATGAGAAATTTCCAACAATTTACCCACAATTTAACCATTATATTCATGCTTTTCACCATTTACACTTGAAATAGAAGATAGCTCTGATGGAGAAAATGACAATGGGAGTGAGAATGGAAAAGCTTTCGATGCATGACGGAAAGGAAACAATTAACTTTATGCTTAGACAGACAGAGATTCTTATTTAGTTTGAAGTCTCTTTGGTCTGGTGCAATAATAAGTTTCAAGTGTGCTTTGGTCTTTTTGTAGATTGTTACTGGAATGTGCTTTTTCCTTTGATGGCAACTATAGTTTCAATGTGTGCTTATTGAATCAATTGCAATGGGATTGAGGAGATTCGCTATATTTATTATATAAAAAGAAAAGATGTAAGGGGTATTTCCGATATTTTGTTAATAGAAAAAAAACTAAAGGAAACTTTTTTTATCGGTCAAAACCCATGGCATAGCTCAAACTTTTTTTACTAGTTGAGATAATATCACTCTAGTTTTATATAAGGGGAAAATGACACATACGACCTATGAACTTTATAGGGTTTACCCTTTTAGTCACTTAACTTTTTTAGTGGCTGAATGAGGGAACGAACTTTATTTTTTCGGGTCAATTACGTCATTATGTCAATTGTGAAGGGGTCAGCCGATCATATTTATGCCACCTGTGTTACTTAAACCCCTTGGCTTGTTGACTGTGTATGCCATGCCATTTATTAATAACTTTACTTAAATGAGATAATATCACTCTAGTTTTATCCTCAGTTGCCAAATATTTTCAATGAAAAGCTGCACTGGAAGGAGCAAGAACCTGTGTTAGGTATGAGGTTTAAGAGTCCTAAAAAATTGAAACACATGCTCTGTAACTATGTTGTTGCAAATGGTTATCAATTATGTTTTGTGAAAATGATAGTAGAAGGTTGCTAGCCAAATGTTGTGATGGAAAATGTACATTTAGGGTTTGGGGTTCATGGATGATTGATGACAAGTCTTTCCAAATCAAGTCTCTTTTTAGTGACCATGATTGTTCAAAGAATTTTAAATTCGGATCAATTGTTACGTATAGATGGATAGGTACCCACTTTACCCAACATTTTTTCAACAATCAGAAGATGAGTGTGAGATTACTTAGAGAGGAGGTGAAAACCACTTTTGGCATTATAGTAAGTATGAGTCAGTGTAGGAGAGCCAAAAAGTATGAAATGAGTCTAGCTGAAGGCACGGTTGTAGAAAATTATGCTAGAATATGGTCTTACAGTGAGGAGATTAAAAGATCAAATCCTGGATCCACTGTTAAAATTTCTGTGGATACAATGCATTATGGTAATAATTACTTCAGCAAGATTTACATATGCTTTGCTGCAGTCAAAGAGGGGTGGAGTGGAGGGTGTAGAAGGATCATTAACTTGGATGGTTGTTTCCTGAAAACTTTTTGCCAAGGTGAGTTGCTTTGTGCTGTTGGTAGGGATGCTAACAATGGAATATTCCCAATTACTTGGGCAGTTGTATGTGTGGAAAACAAGGAGAATTGGAAATGGTTCATTGAAAATCTTGCAGAAGATTTGCAATGTTGGAATGAAGGAAGTGGTTTGGTTTTAATTTCTGATCAACACAAGGTATGTTTGTAAAATATTAAACATAGTATAATAAATATTTACATTTCTAACTTCACCTATTACTGGTACATATGCAGGGTTTGGTTGACGCAGTGAAAGAAGTATTCCCAGCAGCAGAACATAGGCAGTGTGCTAGGCATATATATATATATATATATATATATATATATATATATATATATATATATATATATATATATATATGCTAATTTCAGAAAGAAGTTTAGTGGAGCCAAGTTTGAAAATTTGTTTTGGATAGAGATCCAAAGACATGGTCTCTAGCTTTTTTTAGAGTTCACAATTCATCATGTGAATCTGTGGAGAATGGATTTTCAGAGAGCTTTAATAGTGTCATTTTGGATGCTAGGAAGAAACCTATTATCATCATGTTAGAGGACATTCGTATATATGTGATGCAAAGGATGGTCACTATGAAACTCACAGGTCAAGGATGGAATCATTATTTTGTTTGTCCAAACATCATAACAAGATTGAATATTCTCCAAAATGAGCAAAGGTATGCATACTTATTTTTTCATACATACCTTACCTCTGTCAACTCTAAACATTTGCATTACATTATGTAGGCATTAGCAGGTTGTGTCTTATGGGGGTATGAAGTTTGAAACAAGGAAAATGGATGAGTCGTACATTATCGATGTCACAAAAAAGGAATGCAATTGCAGGTTATGGCAACTAAATGGGTATGGTTGTGTTCATTCAGTAGCTACATTAGTGTTTTTAAACGTAACACCTGATGGGCCATATGTAGATCCATTGTACCTGGCAACCTTCTTCCATAATACCTACAAACAGTCTATTAGTGGCATGAATTGGATGAACATGTGGCCTTCAACAAACTTTATACCTCCATTGCCTCCTTTAAAAAGAAGAATTCCAGGCAGACCAACAATCAAAAGAATAAGGGATGCTTCTGAAAGGTCTGGAAAACACACGGTTTCAAATGCAGGGAAAAAGGTTTCTTGTGGCATATGCAAACAGAAAGGGCACAACAAGACCACTTGCACTCAAGTGCCAAGGCCTCCTAAAACTAATTTCACAAAGAAACAAAAGTTCATGAAAACACAAGAATCAGTGAATATGCAAGGGGGTGGAGAAGATGCTGTTATGGATGATGCAGTTGAGCTACAACCTGATGAAGTTATGAGGGTAAACGAATATGAGCAAGTGGTGAGGGTAAACGAATCTGAGAAAGTGGTGAGGGTAAACGAATCTGAGCAAGTGGTGAGGGTTAATGAAGCTGAGGAACTGGGCAGGGTTAATCAAGTTGTTGGGCAAGTGTATACTACAGGTCAACCAAGCAATAGGAAAAAGCTAGAGAGAATTCTTAAACTAAAGCTTTCTAAAAGAGTTGAAGGTGAAGGTAGTAGTGTTGGATCGCCAATGGAGTTAGATTAATTACAATTTTAATTGTGTGTCTGTTATGTGGATTGAACAAGGGAATTTATGTTTTCTATGTTCATATATGTTAAAATAATCTTAACATTTGATATTTGGAATTGTTTATGTATTTATTATATGTATGATCTTATTTATATTAGTGTGTACGGGGTAATATAGTCATTAAAAATATTTGAGGAGTGCATGTATATGTTAGTTTAGGGGTAATTTAGTCATTCGAATTAGTTAATCCAATAGGTGTATGTTATTTCAAGTTATTATTAAAGTAGGGGTATTTTAGTCAATAAAAGAAGTTAAATTACATACAGTCCCCTTAGGTGTATTAGTCTCATTTTAATTAGTTAAAGAACTAGGGGTATTTCTGTCATTCTTTTCTATTTGACTAAACCCATCAGGGGTATTACAGTCAATATTTCTTATGTGACTTAACCCACTAGGGGTATTTCAGTTTTAACTTTTTTATTTGACTTAACCCATTAGGGGTATTTCATTTCTTCCAGGCAATTAGCCAAAGTGGACAATCAGAAATACAACAAAAAAGCACTTTTCCAGTGTTTTCCATTTCTGGGTTATAGGCAACGACAAATTTGGGTATTAGATTCTTCTTTTTTGTCCCATGTCCCACACACAAACATTGGGATTCATGTTTTAATGGTTTAAAAAGTTTGACTGTTTCATGTGGTCCCAAGAAGAAAATCAACAAAAAATATACATATTACTTCACGACACATGCACATTTACATTTATAACAGGAACATTTGAACTTAACCAACATTTTATTCATGGGTTTCTGCATCTTTACATCGATTAAACAAGTTAAAATATGATTACCACGTCTATCTAAGTACATACGAGAACCATCACCTATGACTACCATCAAAATACTGATCATCACAACAACATGATCACAAAACCACCAAATACTACAACCAGAAACCAAAAGACAATGAACAAAACGCGTTACTAATAAGGATAATAAATGATATGCATATCAAAACAAAATAGAAACCCAATATTGAAATGTTATAACCTAAAGTTCTTCTGTCATTTTAAAAACTTGTAGGTTAACACCCCCACAATAGGAACGACAAAAACCCGAAGGACCCATTTCACTTTCTTCCACTTGTTTCTCCCAAAACGATGTTGACATACGACGCTTGCAATGAACATAAATGCTTCTTAAAATCAACAACCATGTTAGCTAGATCGAGTTGACCTGCCCTAACATCATCCACTTCATGATTGAGGGCGTCCAAGTCTCCAGTGAGGCTGCGTCGTAGTTCACGAAGGTCGTTTGCAATCTCTTCCCTCACATGCGACATCTCTAACTGTGTCTACAGCAGACTGATCGCCAAGTCTTCATTTGTGACTCCATTCGAGACATTTTCAGCCATGTGCCGACTGTAGTTGGGTGACCAACTGTGATTTGGAGATGATCGTGAAGGCATCGTTTCTGCGATTGGTATTGAAGTTTAGGGTGTAGTTGGGGTAACCAGGTTAGGAATTGTGCCATTTTAGGGCACAAGCTTCACATTTTATACGGAGGCGGGATGAACAGTGTGAACGTGGCCTCTACGTTTCACATTCCAAAACGACGTCGTTTGGGTCGAAGACGTAAATACATTTTCGCCATGTCATCGATGACGTGTCAAATTGGGATGATGTGGCATGGTTACCGGGTATAATAAGTAAAAGGGACTAAATTGTTAGGTTGCAACACAATTCGTTCCCTCATTAAGCCACTAAGGTGCTGTTTGTTTTTTTGAAGCAAAAATCCATAAAGTCTGCGGACCACCTCTGCAATCCTCTGCAGTAGAGAGGTGGACCAAACGGTTGCAGACTGTAATAAGAAACGTGTTTGTTTTTTTAATGTCTGCATGCTGCTACAGATATTAAAAAATTAAAATAAACTGATTTTATAATCCGAAAATAGTTTTTAATACTGAAAATTTAATAATTTATGACATTTCAGCAAGAATTTATGATATTTCAGCAAAAAATAATGATATTTTAACAAAAAATAAAGATATTTTAGCATAAAATAATGATATATCATCAACAAATTATTATTATTCAATATAAAAAAAAGAAATTATTTTTTCAACAAGAATAAACAAAAAAAATCGAAAAAAATGTGAAATAAGATTTCAACAATATGTAATCAATATTTTAGCAAGAAAAAAAGAAGAAGAAGAGGTTGGAAGAGGCAAAACAAGTGTTGCGCCAAGAAGAACACGCGCAAATGTTTTTTAATCCGAAGACTTCTGAAAAACAAACAGTTGTGAGATGAAAAGTGTTGTGCGTGTGCTGCACCGCGCAACAATAAGAGGTCTGAAGAGGTTTTTTTTTCCAAAAAACAAACAACACCTAAAAAAGTTAAGTGACTAAGAGGGTGTTTGGCTTAGCTTTTGTGGGGCAAAAGTCCTTTTTGTAAAAGAACTTTTTGTAAAAGTTGTTTTTTAAAATGTGTTTGGATTAGCTTTTGAAGGGAAAAAGTCAAAAGTTAAAGTGTTTGGTTATGACTAAAAAGTACATGTTTCTATATTTAAACAACAAACCAATTTCATTTTCAAAGATGTTTCACAATCAACAATTGTAGTGTCGTTTTCATCCATTATTTGTGAATTACATATAGTATCAACATTTAAACAACAAACCAATTTCATTAACCTTCCTAAATGATTTCATTAATTTATCAAAATTCTAATCAAAACAGAAAAACAAAATATCACAGAAATCGGTTACCTGTTAACACAAATATCATGAACAAAAAATTTCATCAGCTTCATATTTCATCAATTTCACTAATTATTAATCCATATTTCATCAAGTTCACTAATTATTAATCAATATTTCATCCCTATTTCATCAATTTCACAAAGGTATGTTAATCACAGAATATTATAGAATATCAATTTCAGAAATCGGGAGGAACAAATCACAGAATAATCAGTATTTCAGATGCGAGAGAGAAGAACAGTTCAAGGAAAATTGAAAACTTACATTTCTTTGCTACTGGAAATCGGAAATCGACAAAGATATTGTAAAATCGGAGTTATTAATCGGAAATCGACTGGAAAAGAAAACAAACTTACCTGATCGGAGATGGAGAAAGAAGATCGCCGGTGTTGCAGCAAGATCGCCGGTGTTGCAGGAACGATCGAACGAGATGCGAGAGAGAAGAAAGTGGGTGAGCGGAGAGAACGAGAGAGTAATGAGGGAACATATTGTCTGTGAATTGATTAGGGTAGATGGGGTTATAAATGTAATTTAATGTTTTTAGCTGGTGAAAAGTTAGGAAAAGTCACCATTCCGTGACTTTTCAAAAAGACTGAATTTACTCTATAGGAAAAGTTGATTAAAAAGTCATTTTCATTTTACCCAATACTTTTTCTAAAAGATAAAGTCAAAAGTCAAGTCAGTTTAAAAGTCAATACAAACACCCTCTAAAATGATAAACAAAGTTGGACGAGTGTTTTCTGAAAATTTTTAAACATACGAGTGTTTTCTGAAAAGGAAAAAGAAAAAGACGGTTGAAAATGTACTAAAAAATTCTACATAAATAATTATTCATTAAGTCCTTTGAAGGTTGGTGATGGAGTTCAGATAACCAAGAAGTCGTTTTGTCTCCTGTAAGTTACAGGCAATTCAATAGCTATATTCTCGTTGTTTAATCGCACAAGTGATGCTTCAAGGCTGTTTAATTAGAGTTTGATTCTTCTTGATGCTTATGTAATTTGTTGTGGTATTTATCCCGTAATTCACTAATGTGGGGGTTCCGATTGCTAAATCGGTGTTTTCCTTTTAGTTTTTATAGATTGTTATCATTGAATATATCCAGCGATTAAAGGTGTGTTGTTTTGTATTCGAGAATTTGTTGATTTGACAGTTGCTAAACTGCTTTTAGTTCTGATAAACAAGTCAACAGCCACCAAATGGTAGTCTGTTATGGTATTGTTTAAGATTCTATATAGAATGATTAATCACCGAAAATCAACTTGTTTATCGAATGAATAACTGAAAATTTAGTTCGAAGGTGTGCCGATTCCTATATTACAGTTGTATTTCTTAGTGAGGCAGGTGTTCATCAGAGTCCCTCGGTGGAACCACAAATAGTTTGACTTTTGATATTAAAGACTAAAAGCTGAATGCTACGTGTTCATGAAATTTGTAGAAAATTGAAATCTAGATCAAAATTTACAAGCAGCAATAAAAGTACAAAGGTGTTTGCTCCCAATTTCCAACAAATCCATATCAAATTTAATTCTAGAACGGGTATCCTGGAATTAGGATATGATATGGTATTCTTGTTTGCAGGAGATGCAAGTTGAAAATTGTGGATGATATGAAGGAGCATAGTGTAATGCTTTATGCTATTCCAAGACTCCAATCATTTATAAAGTGTTTCTGTTAAAATGTACTTTAGGGCTTGGAATACTGCTATAGGTGACATGGGATATGCTCTGAGTAGATTGGAGATTGACCCTGACTTTTCAGACAGCGAGTCATCTCCTGTTGGAGATGATAATGACACTCCTCAACCTTCATCAGAGAACAATTTGGAGCATGAAGTTGCTCAGCTTACAAAGCTGAGATCAGCACCCCATAAAAGGTTGAAACAAGTTCTTCCACGGAGGCCTGAATTTCCAGTTTCTCCAGTGAAGATGTTAGCTGGTAGAGAAGGGAATTACTCTGGTAGAGGGAGGTTCACTGCAGCCGATCGCTGTCATCTTCTAAATAAATACTTGCCTGTTAAAGGTCCTTCTATAGTTGACCAGTTGACCACCCGGGCTTATGTCTCACAGTTTTCAGACGATGGTTCCCTTTTTGTTGCTGCATTTCAGGTATTCTTGTTTGTTTCAAGTTATGACAAATCAAAATATGAATTTTCTTGCCTCACTAAAGTTTTTAAGGTCTTTTATCCTTTGCTGGAAAACAATACTCCTGCTCAAGTATTTGGATTTCAAGTGAAAACATTTGTCCTCGAGTTTTTACTCTAAATAAAAGTTATGCTTTGTAATAGGGAAGCCACATTAAAATATATAATGCTGAAAAGGGGTGGAAACTTCAGAAGAATGTCCATGCCAAAAGCTTGCGGTGGACGATTACTGATACATCTCTTTCACCAGATAAGCGTTTCCTGGTGATTTTTTTTTTTTTTTTTTTTTTAAAGTGATCCGCCTAAAATGATTTAACATTTGACAGATCTAGAAAATCCATCTGTTCTTGTTCATTAGTTTGTATTAGTTATTAAGATATACGTGCTGTTATTGCTACTTGTAGGTTTATGCCACTATGTCTCCTATTGTCAACATAGTTAATATTGGATCTGCTGCAACAGAGTCTCATGCAAACATCACGGTATAAACTACATCTATCTTGTGACTAGTACTATGTGTGTTTTGCAGGCATGATCATAATAGTAAAAGAAGTTCGTGCTTTTTATTTAATCAAGACTATCATTCAAGTCTTCTTATGGTTGTGATCAAGGGCATATCAAGAAAAAAAAAACTTGTCCCACATAGCTATCAAAGCGTTATATATGGGGATATGCTAAAACTTGAGTAAAGTTCAAAGAAGACTATCGAAAGGAGGGCTTGGATAGTTAATTACTCATTTTAATTAAAATTGTGATAAACTACAATTTATATTGTAATATAACCACTGTTTTCTATACTTATAAACAAGTATTTTCCTTATCATTTACACATTCATTCTTCTCTTCTCTTCTCTTCAATATACTAAACAAAGAAGAATACTGCCCTTTTCTACGATTGGTTTTCTAATGTAATGTCTTGTACATGCTATCAAGTATCAAATAGTTTGGTTTTGGTATGCTGTATATACCACCACCTGATTCATTTAGTTTTCCAGAGCAAAAACATTGGAAGTTAATCTGATTATTACTACTACTAAGCTTTTATTGAAAATTTGTTTGACAATGATAAATTGCAGGAGATCCATGAAGCGCTAGAATTTTCTGGTGATGATGAAGGGGGATATTCGTTTGGAATTTTTTCAGTGAAATTTTCTAATGATGGCAGAGAACTTGTAGCTGGAAGCAGTGATGATTCAATCTATGTTTATGATGTTGAAGCAAACAGACTTTCCCTTCGAATTCAAGCACATACGGTAATAGTAATACTCTTTTTTAGCAAAATTTTGATTCTACAATCAGGTTGTTGTTTCAGAGTGCTTATGTTTTTTGACTCAAGTGAATGTGTCTATTTCTTTTAAACATCGTTGACCCATTTTTCTTTTGTAATCTCTCTTTTTTATTTATTATGTATTAAAACCTAAATACTTTCACGTTCACATGGTATGAATTGTATAGATTATTAGAGTAACATATGTTGTTACATGATGCAGTCAGATGTAAACAGCGTGTGCTTTGCCGATGAAGCCAGCCATCTAATATATTCTGGGAGTGACGATAATCTGTGTAAGGTAATTAATAAGAAACAGTTGTTTGTAGTTAGAAATCCTTTTTATAATAAATGGATGGGGATATTAGAGGGATTTATTTATATACAGGTTTGGGACAGAAGATGCTTCAGATCAAAAGGAAAACCTGCTGGAATCCTGATGGGGCATCTGGAAGGAATTACATTTCTCGACAGCCGTGGAGATGGTCGTTATTTCATTTCAAATGGAAAGGATCAGACTATCAAGCTTTGGGATATCAGAAAAATGTCCTCTAATGCCACTCGGTATGCTAAATTAAATGTCCTTCCTTCCTTTATTTATTTATAAATTATAATTATAATTATATATAATAAAAGTATTTTAAAATTGATTTCAGGAGTCCAGGGTTCAGAAACTATGAATGGGATTACAGATGGATGGACTACCCACTTCGGGCAAGAGATGTGAAGCATCCATCTGATCAGTCTGTTTCCACATATAAAGGTCATTCCGTGTTGCGGACACTAATACGCTGCTATTTTTCACCAGAATATAGGTAACAACTACAGTTGCTTTATCTTTCCTGTAAAGATCAAATGTTTTTTATTAACTACTTGTCATTCATTGTTTTATATAAAATTTGCAGCACTGGCCACAAGTATATATATACCGGATCACATGACTCCTGTGTTTATATATATAATTTGGTAAGTTTTTTTTTTTTTTTTTTTTTTTTTTTTTTACAAAATTATAAGTTAACAGGATAAATAAATATAAACCAACAGGTGAGTGGAGCTCAAGTTGCGAGACTTGTGCACCATAAGTCAACGGTGAGAGACTGCAGTTGGCATCCTCATTACCCAATGCTTGTTAGTTCTTCATTTGATGGAGATATTGCAAAGTGGGACTTCCCTGCTCCTGGTAATGGAGACAACCCGCTTCCTGTTAACAATAGGCGACCCCGAAGACGACATTTTGATTGAAAATAAAATAAACGGATTTCATGGAAATCATTTGTTGTTCATTTGCTTTTTACACAAAAGGATTGTATATACAAGAATATAGATAATAAATTCTTTCTTTCATCGGTATAGTTGAATATTTGTATATGTAATATATTTTTATTCCAAATGTTGCTACTTTGCACATATGGCTCAGTCTTTTGTCTGTGGTGTGTTCTTCTACTTTGCACATATTTTCGACGCCAGTTTCGACCAGTTTGATTCATTTGACCATTTTCAAGTTTAAAAAATAACTTATTATTAGTATTATTTTTTACTTATCTGACCATTTTCAACCTCAATAAATTTACACATGCACGCCATGAATTATAGAACCCTTTAACATGCACGCGTTAAATAAATGATATACTAACGTGACAACACAAATGTAACATCTTTAATTCCAAGTAATGATAATCTGTACAATAAGTTTGTATACCACTTCAAATCTTTTTGAGCAAATGGTGTTTTTTCCCTAAGATTCAACCGTTTGAGGCCTCCAACATTTTTAAACATTTATTCATGTTCTCAGGAGATATAAGTCGTACATTAAGCGCAGTTAACATCTCCACATGCTCTACAACTTTATATAGAAAGTTCCACTAAAACAAATATACTTTGATTTTGGCACTCAACAGTCGACACATTTTACACAGTTTAGTTACAGATTTGGTCTCTCACACACATTTTACACATTGGATCATAATATATCAGATATCACTCTTGCTCCTCTTAGGTGGGCAAGAGTTTGATCAGTTAATTAATAAATTAGTACCGGGCCTCTCATTCAGCTAAATTTTGTTAAAATTTTCAAGGATAAAATCTTTCAACA